ACTTCTTCGGATGCATATAGAATGGCTTATGCTCTAATAAATTTGTTAGCCTCTAAGGTGCCACAAGTCCTCCTGTTCTTCTTTTTGCGGATACAGACTAACACGGCTGCTACTCTGAAACCTGGAGTTACACTGGTGCAAACCAGACTCATGCCCTATGCGTTTCCTATTCTACGTTCATAGCAGCACCAGGTTTCTCAGGTGCGATACCTCCTTAATCTCTGTGTATTAAAATGTGTGTATCTTTCTTTTCTTTTTTCTTTTTTTGTATAGGTTACATTCCTTTTGGAACACCCATCGTAAGTATTTTAGCATCTCTCCCCACCCGGCCTGAGTGTAACAGGAAATGCATTTTTTAGCACTCACATAGAATCCTCCAAATTCCACACTACATTGGTGTGACATTCACAAAATGTTCACACCTTTCCCATCGCGCGTTAGCGAGGGTTTCATTGTGCAAAATGTGCCCTGATGGATTTAGATTGTCATGTTTGAGGTGGTTTGCCTGTTACACATTATTCACCTCCTTCCCTGCACATAGCATCCTGCTATTTTTGTAATATCTTCTCCTTCTTGGTTAACCTTCTACCTGGCTCTTTCTCCAGAAAGATAATCGGTCTGTCTACACGGCAATTAAAGCCCCCCGGCTGGCCCATGGCAGCTGTCTCAGGCTAAGCCAGTGGTTCTCAAACTTTTGTCCTGGTGACCCCTTTCCCACAGCAAGCCTCTGAGTGCGACCCCCCTTATAAATTAAAAACACTTCTTTATATGTTTAACACCATTATAAATGCTGGAGGCAAAGCGGGGTTTGGAGTGGAGGCTGACAGCTCGCGACCCCCCCATGTAATAACCTCGTGACCCCCTGAGGGGTCCTGACCCCCCGTTTGAGAACCCCGGGGCTAAGGGGTTGTTTAATTGTGGTGTAGACATTTGGATTCAGGCTGGAGCCTGGGCTCTAAGACCCTCCAGCCTAAGCCTGAAAGTCTACAGTGCAATTAAACAGCCCCTTAGCCCAAGCCCACAAGCCTGAGTCAGCTAGCATGTGCCAGCTGCAGGTGTGTAATACCCCACGGTGCACTGATCACCTGTAAAATGTAACTTCTGCATTGGTCTTCAGATCCTTCCTCCTCTGTACATTTGACAAGTTGCTTCCAGAATGTGACAAACCCAGTGAGAGCCCTGCAAACTCAAGCGCTACGTCACAGTACCCAGGATTATTTGATTTATCCCCTCTTCCCCCCCACACTCCCCGGATAACTTTATCCTTTCCCCCAATGAAAATCAAAGTCCTCTCTGTCTAATGAACAGTTGAAAAGTCATTAGTTATGGGTTATTGCTAAGTGTGCATCTCTCAGTTCATGTTTGTTATTTTCAGTTGACTATATTAACATTTGGGGACAGTATCTCGAGTGAAGGCCAGGATAGAGGTCTCCCTGACTGCATTTATAATGTTTAAACTTCAATTAATCTTCACCCTCTGCCTGTGGCGTAGCTAAGTATTACCCCCATTTTACAGATTGGGAAACTGAGGAACAGCAATTTTAAGTGACTTGCCCCAGGCAACACAGCAAGTTGACATCAGAACCATGTTGAAAAATTCATGTACTTTTGGATTCCAGCTTTTTTTTAATCCTCTAGAACATGCTGCCTCAACTATTGTAAAGCTTGAAATCCGCAGGTTGAAACCTCATAAACCAAGTGCATTGAGGCATATAACACGCAGATTCATAGATGCCAAGGCCAGAAGGGGCCATTGTGATCATCTAGTCTGACCTCCTGTATGGCAAAGGCCGTAAAACTTTCCCAAAATAATTCCTAGAGCATTTCATTTAGAAAAAAGCATCCAATCTTGATTTAAAAATTGCCAGTGATGGAGAATCCACTAGGGCTCTTGGTAAATTGTTCCAATGGTTAATTACCCTCACTGTTAAAAATTGACACCTTATTTCCAGTCTGAATTTGTCTAGCTCCCAGGCATTGGCTCATATTATACCTTTGTCTAGTAGACTGAAGGGCCCATTCATGAATTATTTGTTCCATAAGCAGATACATATAAACCGCGATCAAATCACCCCTTCTCTTTGTTAAGCTAAGCAGTTTGAGCTCTTGAGTCTATAAGACATAAGAGTAATGATCCTGCCCAAGGAAGGTGATAACGTGGTTACCAAAATCTAGAGGTTAAAATTATTATTAATAATAATTTGTTGTATCTAACATTTTGGTGGCAACTTGTGGTGGGGCATTATTTTTAAAAAAAAATTAGGTTAAACAGAAATGAGTTAACGATCAAATTGACAATGAAATCGGCCCAAATCCAGATCTGTCAGCGGAGCTGAGAGCTGTCAGATGAGTCCAATTTCACTAGCTGTAAAGGATAAACTGGAACCTCTTGTCATTTTTTTTTTAAAAGAAGCATTTTCAAATGTTAAAATTAAAATGTAACATTTATGCCAATCTATCTGTGAAATTTAGTGACAAAATTGGCAGCCAGCTCTAGCATAAAAACAGTGTGAATCTTACATTGAACATAGGGGGATGGGATTTCCTCGAGCAAAATGATTGTGCAGCAGTCTTATGGTTCTAGCCTAGGACAAGACACCAACTTAGGAAGAGGCTTCTTCTGATCTTACTTAACTCAGCAGCATAGCCTAGTGGGTAAGACACGAGTTGGAGTCAGAGTCAAGAGACCATGGTTCCATGCCTGGCTGTGCTACTGGCCTGCTGCGTCACCTTGGGCAAGTCACTTCTACCACCCTGTGCCCTTTGTAAAAGAGGGAAATACTTGCTTCCCTTGGTAAAGGACTTGGGGATGAAAAGCAGTCCGCAGTGTTGCCAACTCCTGCAATTTTAGTGTGAGTCTTATTATATTTGGCAATTGTCTTAAAAGCCTCAGCTCCTGGATTTGTGTGATTATTTGGGAATCTCAGTTTTTTCTTTCTTTCTTGGAGTCTGATTCATGGTTTTTGACTGCTTGGGACTGGCAATACCGCAGTAATAAGAGCTGAGTGCTATTATTAATATGGACTCACAGATCAATCCACTTTCCTTAACCAATCGGAAAGGACTTCGGTTTTGTAAACACAAAGATCCCTCTCGCTAATTCCTCCCACTTGACCTCTTTCAACGAGTCTTGTCAGACTCGGCAAATCTTTATGGAAAGCATCTCTATCCCTTGGCTTCAAAGCCACGATGACCATCACATCAGTCAGGCAATTAGAATTTGGTGGTTGATCTATTTCTGGTGTTTAGGATTTTTTATTTTGTTTTCCTTTTTAGCTGTTTTTTCCCCCCTGACAGTAATTAAAAATGAAGCTGTACATTCCTTGGCAGACTCTTGCACATATGGAGAGTTTGCATTAAATGTGCCTCTTTCAGTCATGCAGATTTTGGGTGTTCTTTTTCTTTTCATTTAGTCTCTTTCTTGTTTTCTTCCACTGAGGTTAAGATTGTAAATGACTAACGTTTTGGGCTGCCTCCTCTTCCCCAGTCTCTTTAACCCATTGGCTCTTGGGGCCAAATTCTGACTTGTTGGAACGAGGTGCAACTTCTATAGAAATATCTGGGCCAAGTTCGTTGATAATGTAAATCCTGGTGTTAGTTGCATGCTGGGTGCAAATGGTAACTTAGTGTAACTCACTGATTTGGCATTCAGCAGGCATGCAAAGTAGGTGTAACTTATATTTCAAGAAAGAGCGTAGGAGGAAAAACCAACTTAACAGGAAGGTGTAAACTAAACCAGCCCGTCCAACCTTTTTTACACTCTCTTGTGAGTTGTTGTTTCTCTCTTCTGGATCCTTAGCCTGTGAGTTGTACCCCAAAACTGATGCAGCTGCAAATGAGTGGTGATCATAGGCTCACCTCCCTTCCTTTTGACAGATTATTTTGGCTGTTAATATCAGGTTTTACCCGCCCCTCATCCTCAGCGTAAATAAAATCAGAGAGGATGTCCTGGCCCAAAGTCCGAGAGCGTGGTTGAATCCACAGCCTTCTAGCCCCAAGGTCAGAGTGCTACCATGAGGAGCATTCTTTCTCCTGGTAGCATGGGGTCCTGTGAAAAATATACACACTCAGGAATAAAGGAAAATTTCATTGGTGGGTTCTGAAATAGACAGTCTTCACATTACAGATCCATGCTTGTCTCTCCACTCTAATTCCCAGAGAATTAGGTAGCTGGAGGGGAAAAAAGATAAAAATGTGAAAGCGTATCCCATTATATCTACCCATTAGTTGACAATTCATGTCACTGGGAGCTTGCTTTGTGGATGAACCTCAGGAGTTTCTTCCCTTTATACTTCCTTCCCCATCCCTCTTCAGTTCCCTGCATTGTGGCAACTTTTTCTCTTGTGGAATGGGACACAGCCTTTCTGTGCTGCTTCCTATTTACCCATGTGAGGCCCAATATCCCCAACCCTATTGGCCGAGTGAACCTGGGACTGAATACCTGGCCCAAATTTGGACCTCTAGGGTCTTTGTAACTGTGGGTGCGAGGTATCTAAACTCATGATCATTAAAACAATTGGTCCCAACTAAGAGCACTTGAACTTCCAGGTGGTAGTTCCCTGTTTTCCAACATTAAAATCTGATCTCTTTTCGACATTTGCTAGAGGAGCTGCATTTCCAAAAGTTGAAACAATAAACGTATCAAAGAAAAATCAAAACCTTTCCATCCCCTGGCCAACCAATGAGAAATGATTTGTGAATTCCTCTGAAACATAACATTTAAGTCCTATTCCAGAGGGTACTTGTGTAAAATAGTTGATTTAGCAAACCGTGGAAGTCCCGATAGAGTATCAGTCCTCAGAATAATACAGCTTCTAATACTTTGCCCTTCTGTACCAAGTTCCATCCAAGGATCTCAAAGCATGTTGCAAAAATAATTAAGGCTCATCCATGTGAGGGAGGGCAGCACAACCCATCCCCATTTTACAGATGGAGAAACTGAGTTACAGAGAGGTTAAGGGGGAAGGTCAGTGACAGAGTTGGAAAGAGAATCCCGCTTTCTAGATTTCCATCCCCTTTCTTAATCCTGCTCCTTTGTATGATACTGGGCTACGTCGTAAACCCTGACTGAGCAGATATATTCTCCACCTGTTGCCCCTCATCCACACATGAATAGGTGAGTAGAAAGCATCTCAGTGTGCTTAATACGTGGGAAGACACCACAAACAGACTGACAGTTTATTCATTATGCTATTTTTTTTTAAATCGTTCCTCTCTCTTGTAGGTTGTTGGTCTTCTCCTACCAAACCAGACGCTGGCGTCCACGGTTTTTTGGCAGGTAACAATCTTCTGCCATGGCACATTGAGTCTATGGACTTGTGTGACAAAAAGAAAAACATCATTGGATTACATCTCCAGCATAGACCCAAAAAATGAAAGTGTGACTAAGGCATATTTACCTTTCTGCATCAAGAGCATCTTAGTTCATGAGAAGACAGTATGGCTGGATCTCATTGGAAATTTTTGGTAAGACTGGAGTATGCTGCAAATAAACCCAAGGGGCTGATTCTCCACTGCCCCGCACATTGTGTGATCATTTAGACCTGTGTAAAGGAGGTGTAAAATGGTGCTAAATCCAAATGGTATTACACCTGAGCAAAGTGGGTGTATAGTAAATGATGACACAAGGTGCAAAGCCATGGAGAATTAGGCCCTTGATGCTCACCCCTCTGCTGTTTTGAAGACATTCTGTCAAGTCGTTTAGGTTTCAGCCTTTACATACCTTGAAAAGGGCATATTCTGTTAGAGAGACAAGGGAGGATGAGGTAATATCCTTTTTTGGACCAACTTCTGTGGTGAGAGGGACAAACTTTCAAGCTCCTCAGAGCTCTTAGAAAAAAAGAGCTAAGTGTGGATTAAAAGCTTGTCTCTCTCACCAACAAAAGTTGGTCCAATAAAAGATATTACCTCACCCGCCCCTTGTCTTTCTAATGCCCTGGGACCGACACAGCTACAAGAACACTGCATATTCTCTTAGTGAAATTCATCCACAGGGCTCTGCAGCTTCAGAAGGTCCCCAAGACAGCAGAACTTCAGTGGTGGCAGCAGAGCATATATGCAGAAGACTCCACATTTGCTGCATGGGCATCAGTGCCAGTTCTGCGTTCTGAATGGGGGCATGGCTAATGTTTCTGCGATTACCCCAATGTTGTTTCTTTGTACAAAGCTATTTAAGAGGTGTGTGTGTATGTGTGTGAATTTGAGCCATAGTAACTGTTATCCCAAATAAACAAGTCTGAATAATTGAAATAATAAGACTTATTCAAACTGTTCTTAAAAATCTTTGTTTATTGCCTTCAAAGTAAATAGTGCTATAAAATGGCATGCCAGCCATGGAAGATCAAGGCATAGTGCAGACTATCTAGGACTTTGGAAAGGTGCAGTCAGCAGAAAACATAAGCATATCCTAGTAACTTGTGGCTGTGTTTAAATTCAACAAGGTAAGTTATGGCCACATAGTTCAAACGCTGAAGCTGCATCTTGTGCAGTATACAACTTTAAGAGGCATTGTGGCTGGAAATTTCTAGAGTTGTTCACCTCTTCCACTGTCATGATGCTGAAGAACTCAGAGTTCAATCCGGTGCCTGCTGAAGTCAGTGACAAAACTCCCATTGATTTCAGTGGTGCAGGATCAGACACTTGATTATGCTACTCTTACTCATGTGCGTAGCCCCACTGACGTCAATGAGACTCTTGGCATGTGCAAAGACTACTCATGTGAGTAAGGGTAGCAGGGTAAGACCCTAAAGAGTCCCCGTTCACAGTGAGAGGTGAACCTTGTGTTCTGTACTTAGAGAAAGTTGAAGGGGTAAACTGAAGGGTCTGTTCTTAAATAGGACTCTAGCTATGAGCACAGCACAAAACCTGTTTATTTGTGAAATTCTTCAAGGACCAGATTCTTACTCACTGTGAGTAGTACCTTACTGTGCAATAAGTCTCACTGAAATCAATGAGACTACAGTGCAGTTACTGGCGACCATGGATCAGCGCTCACGTCGCACTCCCCATCCGTACCCGGCCCAGGCTGGGGAAGCTAATGATCCAACCAGTGGACCAAATTCAGTGATGAATCCTGGTCACGTGGCACCTGAGGCACATTGCGCATATGCTAAGAAGAATGCATTTACTCAGTAAATAAGGGTGTCGGAATCCTTATTTGGAACTGGAAAGAGTATTCTAAAAAAAAAAATCAACAATCCACAAGAGCATAACCCAAGAGAAATTCGTTAACAGAATATACACCTCTACCCCGATATAACGCAAATTCGAATTTAACGTGGTAAAGCAGTGCTCGGGGGGGGGGCGGGGCTGCGCACTCCAGCGGATCGAAGCAAGTTCGATATAACGCGGTTTCACCTATAACACGGTAAGTTTTTTTGGCTCCCGAGGACAGCGTTCTATGGGGGTAGAGGTGTACAAATTTCAAGTCCCAGACCAATAGTAGAACAGCATTGACTTCACTGGGAGTTACATGTGCTTATGTAGAGGTAGAATTTGACATGCGAAATGTGGGATTCTAACTGCTTGACAGACTGTGATCAGATGCAAACCCAGCCCGCAGCAAAGAAAAGGAACATAGCCTTCAACTTGACTAACTCGGAGCACGCTTGGAAGGCTGCTTCAGTGGTTCTCAAACTTTTTCTGGTTCTGACGGCCTGCTGGACCCATTGTCAGACCAAATTGCCCCAGATCACAGAGTTAACAGGAGAGGTTCATTTTGGGAGTGCTTCTCTCAAACTTCAGATGCCAACTTAATTTGTGGTGCAAAAAATATGGGGGTTACCATACTTCCCAGGGAGAGAACGTTTTTGCCCCTCCATCCGTGTTCCCTCCCTCCCTTCTTCCTCTGACCCCATTCCCCTCCATCTTTCCAATTCTCTTTTCCCTCTCCTTTCCTCCTTTTCTGACTCCTTTCTGTTTCTTTCCCTTCTTCTCTCCTTTCAGTATCATTTCTCAGGTTCTGACCAGCAGCTGGAGGAGAGCAGCCCCGTGCGCCTGCACTGACATACTTTAACCACAGCACCTTGAGTACGCATGTTGCAGTCCAGGGCATGTCAGGCCCCAGACTGAGGTAAGCAGTCATTGGAGCAGCATGAGTGGGACCCTCTGAGCCTCTGGAGTCCCATTTTTGCTGAATTGAGGGAGTGTTCAGAACGCCCTCCCTCCAGTAGATCTTTCCTGGATGTGGGGGGAGTGGCCCTACTACCATTGCCACCCCCTCTGAACTCTGCAGACAGGGGGAGTGGGCCAGCCAGCCACCTCCTGAAGAGTCCAGAAGTGTATCAGCCAGCCACCCCAGAGGACAGCAGAGCCAGGGAGTGGATAGCAGGGCACTGATCCATCCCCACTCTAAAGACTGCTTAAGGTAGGAAGGGAATGGGGCAAAACTTGTCCCAGTTTTATATTTCTGAGCTGAGATTCTGGTCGGTAACTGGGGTGGAGATGTGGGATGGTGACCAAGCAGGGGTGAGTATTGGGTTCTCAATGAAACCCAATTCCACCTGGTTGAGGGTCTGTTAGAGAAGTTTCTCTAGCTCTGCTCGATGGACCACATCAGTCGAGTTTGATTAGTGGCGCTTTATAAAGGCTCACTTGTAAACCAGGACAAATTCCCAGCACCTATTGCCAAACAAAATTCTCACAAATCATTTTTTTTTTTTAGCATAAAAGGCAAATTTTGGTGGCCCCATGTATTCCTTTATGCAAAAGTTCTGAGTTCAATAGGAAGAACATGCTTGTGGGCCATCACTACTGCTTTTACCTAATTTGGTCTTTCTGTGCCTATGCCCTTCCCACATTTAACCACTCGGTGACTCTGTCTCTCCCCTTTCTTCTTTCTTTCCTCTCAGGTTCTGGCCATTAGCTGGAGAAGAACCAGTAGTATCCTACTCTTACATTGAAGCACATTACGTGTGGCACCTGCTTTGGGAGTGGGGTGGGGAACCGTAGTTCTTTTCATTCACAACTGCTGTGGACAAAGCACTTCAGTTCAAAAGCACGGCGCTACTCTTCTCCAGTTGCCAGTACTGTTGCTGACACACTTCCATTGGAGTAAATGCTATCCTAGAAGTCAGAGATGGAAATACCAGTTAGATCATCCAGTCCCTATCCCCGAAATGGTACAGTAGATTCTTTCATGATCCCCAGACCAGCCTCCCATGAACCCCCAGTTTGAGAACCACTGAGTTTAATGAAGGTCTAAAAGTCTGGCTGCTAGGGCCTATAATATCCTGCAACTTTCTCTAAGGGACATCATGGACCAGAGCAGGAAGAAGAATGTTTAATGTTAAAATTGCCATGTTCTGGAACCCTTCAATGGTGCTATCATTTATGACAAGAATTTTAAAGAAGGTTTGATCTTTCCAGCTTTAGATCAGTTTTTATCACAATTGTGCTGTTTTAATGTAGGGTGTGCGTTTATTTTCTAGTTTTAGTGTGTGTCCGTGTCTGTGTGGATTTAATGCTGGTGAAAAGGGGTGGGTCAAAGACACTGGGATGTCAGGGGTGGGGTGCAATATAACAAAATGGTGACAGTGGAGGATACCAAGTAGAGATTCTTCCCCCGCTCCCCTCCAGACAAGTGGGAGAGACCAGCCTATTTGTCTTTCTTTTGGGGACAGCCCCTAAAGGGATCAAACAGCCACTCTTCAACAAAACACCAATTGGGGAGACTATCTCACTATATGTATGTACCGCACCTAGCACAATGGGACCCTGATCTCTGTTGGAACCTCTAGGGGCTACTGTAGTACCAATAATAAATAATAGGAATAGCACAAGGCTGTTGTTCTGGGATAGCTGTAATAGGACGTTTAAGTCTGAGCACACCCACTGTTTTTAGTGGGTTTTCTTAAGTATCATGAAAATATTCCTGTTAATAGATTTTGTAAAACTTTTATTTAAAAAAAACTAAATATAGGGTCTAAACTATCTGACGGTGTCCCTTTTAAACTTTAATGTAGCTAGTACTGTAGTCAGAGGACCAGATTCATTGTCCAGTGATGTCAATTAAAAGACTCCCTTGGCTTAAAAGGGGAGCAGATTGGACTCCAAGTGTGCACAAAGCCTTAGAAATGTGCAGGGGTCACGGTTGTTTGTGTGAGTGTGTATGTGTGTGTAGAGTGGATAACGCACATTTCTGCATTTAGTTTTCCTCTCTGTTACCCCTGTACTTTCACAGACATATAACAGTATTCTCCTTGATATCACAAAGCTTCCATGACCCAGTGGGAGGTATAATTGGATAAAGTGGACTTTTCTGTATCATGTTTGGGGAGGGGGGAGGAGTTTTGTTTTTTGCAGCAGCAGTAGTGGCATAGATACATTCTCTTTTTTAAAACAGTTTGTATCTCTTATTTCCTTTTTAGTGGTTGAATCAGAGCCACAACGCATGTGTCAACTATGCAAACCGAAATGCAACTAAGGTGAGGAGATGCTACATAGGCAGTATCTACAGTAAGTCTGATCTTTTTTTACACTGAAAGCGTAATTCCTGAATCTTGGACTTTAACAGAAACTGCAGGGTAGGTGCCACAGCAGGTTTATGGATTGGCCTTTCTCCTATGGAGCCTTCATTATTAAATTGTCTTAGATAATAGGTGGACTGAGTTTGTGTTTTCAGTCTAGTCCCTGGTTCAAATCTAGTTCCTTTTGTTCAAATCCTTAAAGTACCAAAACCAGGGGTATTGTTCCAGAATAGCAGGGCTGTTGCCGGTCTGGGTTTAGGTGATATAAGCAGGTGTACTTCCTATTCTGCTTGGTAGAATATATGCATGCTGTATGTAATCCTAATTTAGCTCCTTCCTACGGGTTTGACTTTATTGGTAACTCAAATAACCTCAACCAGATGTAAAACCATTCCCCATGGCAGGACCTCTCAGCTCTAGAGTCTGGTTCCTTCTGGTACTTGCTGGTTAGTGCTAATAAGAACCATCTGCTAGTGTGATTCCTCAGTATTCAGTCTACACCTTCAGACAGGTTTCAAGCATTTGAAATCAGGGTGACTGCATAGAGGAGTTCTGCAGGGTCCTAGAGTCCATCCCCCTCTTTACAGGTGGACTGGTAGAACTTGTTAGATAAAGCTAGCACAGGAGCTGTACGGACATGCCCTCTGTATCCAATGCTCTCATTTTCAAGAGCATTTAAAAGTGGGGATTCTGGGCCTCTTTCCAGACAACAAGCTTCTCTCTTCTCCAGTACACTTGGCACCCACTAATTTGGGGAGATGAGTCAGTTTCTCTTCCAGATCTTGGTCTCCTACATGGCAGACAACATGCTGCCGCAACTGTAATTTGCCCAGTTGATAATCTTGATTGGTAAGAACTGACATAATTTAACATAGTAAAGAGAAAATATGATCGGTATTTGGCTTTTCTGATGACAAAAGAAGACTCCACGATTAAATATACAACCCCTGGTGGGAGGCGGGGGACAAGTCCTTCCCACATTTTGTTACTATCCCAAGGGTGTTCCTCTCAATGCAGTTGCAGAACTAAAGTGTTCTTACTCCAAGTCTTTCTTTTGCCCCTCGTCCCCCAAAACTTTTATGTTGTTGTATCACTTCTCATAATGTCTGAGAACTCAAGGTATGAAGCTGAATTAGAAGCCATCGGATTTGCATGCAATAGATTTTCATTAAAAGCTAAAAGAAGTTGTCAGGTCAAGATAACCTTTGGGTACGTCCAGACTACCCACCGTATCGGCATGTAGCGATCGATTTATCGGGGATCGATATATCGCATCTCGTCGAGACGTGATATATCGATCCCCGAACGCACTCCCCGTCGACTCCGGAACTCCACCGGAGCGAGCGACGGTAGCGGAGTCGACGGGGGAGCCGCAGCCGTCGATCCCGCGCCGTGAGGACGAGAGGTAAGTCGGAATAAGATACGGTGACTTCAGCTACGGTATTCCCGTAGCTGAAGTTGCATATTTTACATCGACACCCTCCCCCCCTAGTGTAGACCAGGCCAAAGAGCTATAGTTAAATCAGAAAGCTTTGGGTTCATAATGTGTGTGTGTGTGTATGAATAGTTCTGCCACATCGCACTTATATATAATATTTCCAGGACAAATAGTAAATTTCTGGTGCTAAATAAATAATTTTCCAAGTCATAGAATATCAGGGTTGGAAGGGACCTCAGGAGGTCATCTAGTCCAACCCCCTGCTCAAAGCAGGACCAATTCCCAACTAAATCATCCCAGCCAGGGCTTTGTCAAGCCTGACCTTAAAAACCTCTTAGGAAGGAGATTCCACCACCTCCCTAGGTAACCCATTCCAGTGCTTCACCACCCTCCTAGTGAAAAAGTTTTTCTAATATCCAATCTAAACCTCCCCACTGTAACTTGAGACCATTACTCCTTGTTCTGTCATCAGGTATCACTGAGAACAGTCTAGATCCATCCTCTTTGG